CTCTCTCTCTCTCTCTCTCTCTCTCTCTCTCTCTCTCTCTCTCTCTCTTTCTTATAATAAACTCTCCACATGGATGCTGTTCTGCACGGCATGAGTAACTTTCCAGTCTTCCACGCTGCCTGCTGCTGCATCTGCATGGTGTGTCTCCATCACCCACCGGGGCACCTTGGCCCAAGCTGCCAAGGCCTCCCGTGTGCTGTATCATTACAGGTGGCACAAATATTCAGTCCATAACAACACATAGTTACTTTTTGTGTACCAACCAGTATTGTGACATGACACTATTTACTTACAAATATAGACAATTTACATGCAGTCATTTATTCTTAGCACTTTGACTAGTTATATAGAAGTCTCTGTTAAGTGGTGCCCCCCGCAAAAGAAATTTCCCTGGCCAAGGCTGACAGCAGCACAGATCTATGGTTATAAACATAAATACTTCAAAGGCAGTCTGATGACATGATCACTTAGCAAAACAATAATAGGGTCACTCCTCGTGGCCTATAACCTCCCCAGCCATGTGCTGTTGTGGTTGGTTTTTTTTTTTAACAGTTTACAGGTTACAGTACTAATAGGTTTTCCTGTAATGTGATATGTTTCTCTGCTGACGCAGTAAGCTAGATCAAGCCGAGCTGAAAAAGTAAAAGAACAGGTTTATTTGAGCAAAGCAACTCCCGGGTGAGGCCCCTAGCCCCAGAGACCAGGGCTGGAGAAGTCACGTGGCCAAACTAAAGCAGGGAGCTCATACACCCTGTAGGCGAGGGGGTGATGATGTGTCCTCCACAAGCTGGGTTTGTGCCTCAATGTGGTCAAAAGCTGACCGCTTTAGGTGGGGGCTTGGGCTGCTGGCAACGTCAGGGGAGGAGCTGCCATAGCCACCGAGAATGCAGAACTGGGCTTTTTGGTGCCTTTTCTTTGTTGAAGATTCTCTGAGAGGGTGGGGTTTGGAGAGAGAGAGGAATGGGGTTCCCCAGAGCAATCAGGAGTGAGCTGGAGGTTCCAGCCGACCACGTACCACCCATGAATCCCCGCCTGTGGAGCATGTTCAGATGCCCAGGAAGGCCACAAGAGGCTTCCTTACAACTGGAGTTACAGGAAGTTGTGAGTCACCAATGTGGGTGCTGGGGACTGAATCTGAGTCCTCTGGAAGGGCAGCCAGTGAGTGCTCTTAACCACGGGACCATCTCTTTAGTGTCAAGACTGCCTGATTGTTACACTGGCCCCACCATTGCATCTAGCTCCTCAGCCCCTCTGTGTCTAAGCACGTGTAACGGGAGGTTAAATGATAGGAACTTCCCCGGTGATGTGAAGAGGACGCAGCTAACCGGAAAGGTAACTCACATAGCATGCTAATGATTGTTGTCTGGTGCTGCTGTGCTCTCAGCGGCACAGCTGGAAATCCGGGGGCTTCACATTCTGCTAGAATCCTCCAGCAAGGAACCAGAGTTTGGAGCATCACGTGTGGGCCCCTAGCTTGAGTTGTGGGGTTCGATCAGACCGATGAGAACCAACACCCTTTTTCCTGGGACCATTAGAGGCTCTGACAGGCTTAGGCCCCAGCTGAAGAACCCCAGACTAGTAGGAAGAAAAAAAAAAAAAGTCCTGAAATAAACACATTCCAGGAGTCTGGGGCAATCAGTCTTGCCTCAGGCGATGCAGGGTTGTGGTGGTGAGGGGGCAGGGGGAGGCTTTGGAGGTGCCACTGTGCATCAAGAAGAAAGAAATTAACAGAAACTTGCTTCCTTGAGCATTCCTGGGTACCTGGAGCTGCCTTAGGCTTTCTTTACCTATAACCCCAACCCTGGTGACGGCAGGTCACTAGTCTTGTCCTGCCCCACCCACTCACACACTCACTTGGCAGCGGCACAGCCCCACCCTCCTTGAAGTCGCAATCTGATCCCAGAAGAGCTCTTGCTGACCTGTGGTCTGGTAACCAGGACGCAGTCTTGGCCAGCGCTATCTTTGTAGTTCTGAAACTCAGCACCGAGGCCAGCATGCGGTCGGCCTGCCCATTTCACCTCACCCGACCCTTGTCTGACACAGTAATTGTCATCAGGTGATTTAGTGATCAGCGAGCGAGCCTGCGGGGAGATACCCTGGCCCACCTGAGCCCGTCCGTCGTCTAGCATGTCAGGAGCCATCTCTCCAGCCCTGTTACTTCTTCCACTTTGATACAGGGCCTCACTAAGTCGTTCAGCCTGGCCTTGAACTTGCTCTGCAGCTCAGGCTGGTCTTGAACTTGCTCTGCAGCTCAGGCTGGTCTTGAACCAACAATCCTTCTGCCTCAGCCTCCTGAGTGGTGAGGATTAAAGGCTTGTGCTACTAGGCTCAACTGTCTTTGTTCTTGAGGTCTGCAGAACTGAAAAGCATCTTACTTGGTGATTAGATGGGTGTCGTTTGAATACAAATCTCCAGCTGTGTGCCCATCAATCTGCAGTCACTGTTTCCTATATGAACTGCCCTGAAATCGCCTCCCAGGAAGATGGTCCTAAAGCTCCTCTTAGCTCGTAATAAAACTCTTTTCCTACCATGTCCTCCCCTTCTCCCTCTCCTTCTCCCTCTCTCTCTCTCTCTCTCTCTCTCTCTCACACACACACACACACACACACACACACACATGTGTGTGTGTGTGTGTGTGTGTGTGTGTGTGTGTGTGTGTGTGTGTGTGAGAGACCTCATATGTTGTTTCTTAAGCACCTTCCACCTTTTGAGGTAGGATCTCTTATTGGCCTGGAACCCCACCTTATAAGCCAAGCTAAGGTTCAACCTGTCTCCACCTCCCATCACACCATTGCTGGTATTACAAATGTATACTGCCATGCTCGACAATTTTACATGTGTTATGAGGACTGGGTTCAATTCCCAGCACCCACACGGCAGTTCACAACTGTAACCCTGGTCCTAGAAGATCTGATGCCCTCTTCTGTGATCTGTAAGCACCAGGCACACACACGGTGCACAGACATACTTGCAGACAAAATACCCATCCACATAAAAGAAAAAAGAAAAATAATAAAAACAAAATAAAATAGAGTAATAAGCAAGATTCCATTCTTAAATAAAATGTTGCTTTAATAAAATACTGCACACATGTAGTTTTCTTATCAATGATGTTAGGAACAGGGCGCTTGGTGTAGGTGAGAATTCATAGCAAAAAAAGGAATTTTGAATAAATAGCTACAGCATTTTTTCTTTTTGAAATTATACTCTGCAGATCAGAGAAGGCTGGAGCTGGCTGTTCCTCTAAGAATGAGTTCTTGGCTGGCGTGGGCTAGAGAAAGGAGTCCTGTTTCTGCTCCAGGAATCAAAAGTAACATCGGAGTGACCTTCTGGAGAGAGGCATCCTGGCTCTCCCTCGCCCTGTTGCTCAAGATTTCAGAGTTTAACTTAACCCTACAAAAAAGCACCACCACATAGTCGCCTGCTGGACATCTGAGGGTCCAGCCTCAGGCGCAGGGAACCGGTGGAGGATTCAAGGGACTGCAGATGCAGACTGAGGAGACAGACGTGATGAGACAGAGAAATTGGTGACGCCTGAACGTTCTGACTCGTGCAGTGACCACGGCCATCCAGGAACTCAAGCACCAGAAAAGCCGGAAGCAGAGCTGCTGCCTTTAGCTGGCTGCTCATCACACTTGAAGTTGGTCTACCATTATCAAGCGTGTCCTGTTGTCTAAAGACTCAGACGGAACTGAAGCCTTTTAGACCCGGGCTGGCCTGTGGTTTGCTCATGCACACAACACTTCCCCGCCTCCTCCTTCTTTCTCTTCCTAGCAAATGCACTGCGCCCTTCTCCCAGCTGGGAGGATTCTGCACAGGGAGAGAATTCTCAGTCAGGATCTCCGGCCCGGGCTTGCTCTTCTATATCTGATGGGAGAATGGCAAATGGGTTTTCAGGGAAAATCCCAGAATAACCCAACTTCTAGCTCTCAAGGGTTTCTCAAACAGCCCTGGAGCATTTGGTTAAGATAGCAAAGAAAGACAGGGTTACCAGGGCTGTGTGAACACCTCTGGCCTTGGTAGCCCCCAATCCTTTGCATGGTCATTGACTTTAAATACCAAAGACTCCCCACGCCTTACAAAGACTTCTTGTGAGTCTGGCCCAGAACCCGGGCTAGACAGTAGGGGATAAGGCTCACAGATGCAAAGGGAACTGCCGCACTCTTGCAGAAAGACAGAGCATAGAAGATCAGCTCATTCTGGGACGGGGGTTTCAGAGTGTCGAAGAGGTGCAGGAGGACCAAGGAAGACGCGATGCAGGCAAGGCGGAACGGGAGCGACCTGCTGAGCTCTCCCTTGCAGCTCTCCCGGTACATGCTGGAGTTGAGGGCCAGCCCCAACCCAAAGAGGGTCCCCAGGTTCTTGAAGAGGCTGGCAAACGGTGTGGTGTCGAGGTGGACCCATTCAGGCCGCTGACACCATCTCTTGGCTTTCTCCAAAGTCCACAGGAGGTCCACCCCCAGCCCTTTTAGCAGCACGTAAAATCCGAGCGCGAAACCGAAGAGGAAGAAGGTGATCAAACAGTACTTCTTGAGGCTGGCATTGTAGATGCTCCGGATGTGGCTGAAAGTTTTAGCCACAGCAATGCCTGTGCAGGAAAAAGCACCGTGAGAAACAGAGGTGGCAGCGGGTGACAGGCCATCATCCCACCGGGTGAAATTAAATGACACACCAAAGCGGAGAGTGTAAAGATACAACATAGTGTCTTTCAGAGGAAAGAATAGCGTCACATACATCTTCCCGCTGAATTTGAGTTCCCTGTTGTGTGTGGTGGGTCCTGTTTCTTCTTGCATATACCCAGGGACGGAGTGCATTCCTGCCAGACAAGCCCATTCATTCAGTTTTGATAGACTTGTCCTCTTTTATTTCTTTTAAATTTCACTACATCTATTTAGTTATGGGGTATGTGTATGTCTGTTCATGTGTGGGCAGGCATACATGTGACATCGCACCTGTGTGGAGGTCAAAGGGCATGGTACAGGAGTTGGTTCTTTCTACCATGTGGGTCCCAGGTTCAGACTCAGGTCGTCAGGCTTGGTAGCAAATGTCTTACCCCACTGAGCCACCTCATCAAACCATCTATTGGTCTCAGTTCCTTCCACGGAATTATTAAGCTGTTAATTTAAACCCTCGGTCACACAGTTGATGACATTATTCTCTCTAGTCAAAACAACCCCAAATTTGTTGTGTGGCATAACTTCTACAAGCATATTTTCATTTGCCAGACTCTATCTATCTATCTATCTATCTATCTATCTATCTATCTATCTATCTAGTTTTGAGACAGGATTTCTCTGTGTAACAGTCCTGGCTGACCTTGAACTCACAGAGATCTGCCTGCCTCTACCTCCCGAGTGCTGGGATTAAAGGTGTGCGCCACCACTGCCCAGCCACCTTACTGGTTTTGTTTGTTTGTTTTATATGGTCTGCCCCTGAGACCTGGGGCTCACCAAGTGAACTCCGGGGATCCTCCTGTCTCTGCCTCTCCGGCTCTGGGAATACAGGCACGCAACTGCTTTTTAAGTGGGTGATGGGAATCAAATTCAGGCCCTCAGGCTGGTTTAGGGACCAAGCCACTTCCTTAGCTTCTAACCCCGCCCCCTTGACTTTGAAACCACTGCAAGGCTGACAGCACGGACAGAGGAGGCCATGCTGAGCAAGGAAGAGCCAGAAGAAATAGGAAGTGGGTAGGGGAGGAGTCCACGATACCTGACAAGACTCCAGCCACAACCTGGTGGGGAAAGTGAGCCGCAAGGTAGATCCGGGACAGACAGACATTCAGCTGCACAGCCCAGTATCCCAACCACAAGACGACCTTCAGACACCTGCAAGAGAATAGGCAACCACTTGAGAACCCGGATGCCGATCCCTCACCAAAGACAGCAGCCCGTGTGGGGACAGAGGAGCCTGGCAAACTGAGGCGCCATCAGAGGGACTTTTAGAAATCGGGAGTCCTGCTCAAAGGCTCAAAAATGCGTGATGCTTGTGGTGGTTTGAGCAAGATCTCCCCTGTGTTCTTAGACATTTGAATACTAGGTCTCCAGCTGCGGGCCCCGTTTGGGTAGGGTTAGGAGGTGTGGCCTTGCTGGAGGAAGTACGTCAGTAGGGGCGGGGTTTAAAGACTGGAGCCATGTGAGACTGAGGTCTCAGCTGTTCCCTCTGCCATGCTTCTCTGCTACCGTGGATGGACTCCTCGTCTGGAACCAAGCCCCAAACCCTTCCTTCTCTAAGTTTCCTTGGTCATGGTGTTTCATCAAAGCAATAGAAAAGTAACTAAGACTATGCTTATGTGATTTTTTTCTTTAAAAAACACTTTGATTTAATTTATTATTAATAATATTTTATTATTATATTAATTATAATATATTATGTAATTATAATATAATACAATAATTTATTATTATTATTATTATCTGTTTGATAACTAAGGATTTACACTCTAACTGTATACCTAGGGGCCCCACGTTAGGAACATCTTATGTCTGTTTATTTTAATCCATGAGATGACTCCAGGTTAATACAAAAAAGGGACATTGTTCGTTTTGTTTTTCAAGACAGGGTTTTTCTGTGTAGCTTGGGCCATGCTGGATTCACCTGTCCACCATTAAAGCCCTGCACCATCACCACCTGACTTTTTTTTCCCTAAATGCTGGGGCTATAGCTCAGTGATAGTAGTTAGACAACGTTCACAAAGTCCCTCTTGAATACCGGATCCAAACCCATAGATGAATGGATAAAATAATTTAGTCTAAGCTCTGCCACTCTCTCTAGATCAGTGGTTCTCAACCTTCCTAATGCTGCAACCCTTTAATACAGTTCATGTTGTGGTCCTCTAACCATAAAATTATTTTGTTGCTACTTCATAACTGTAGTTTTGCTACTGTTATACATCTTAAGGTAAATATCTGATCCTTGGTCTCACAGGGTCACAACCCACAGGTTGGGAGTCAATGCTCTAGATGATCTTTCGGATTCCTGTCCATGGTGGTAAGCTTTAGTTGTCTAAATCAAGGGCTACTCTAGTGGATTCCTCTGGCCCTAACATTCCGTGAGCCCCATGTTAACTCACAGAAGTGCTATGACTCTTACTAGTGCCGACTGTTAGTGTGAGAATGGGCTGGGGGAGGAAGAACAACAAACACTGTATCAGCTACAGAGTGTGCAACATCCTGCTCACCCATGTGCCCAGTGGTGTGTTCTTACCGGAATCCAAATGTTGGCTTTTTCTTTCCACGAAGTATGGCCAAGGCAGAAGTGACCATCACGTAATAGACACCTGCTGCGCCCATGGCATGGCCAGAAGGACTCCCTAAATAGCAGAAAAAAGATGAATGGACTAAAGATGGAAAGGTGTCCATTTGAGAGAGTGCCAAGGTACCATCCACACATCTATCCATCCATTAGCCATCCATTAATTATACCTTTCATCTAACTATCCATCCTTCTTACTATCCACTCGTTTATCTATAATTCAGTATTTAACAAACTGAATTCATACTATGTGCCAAGCATTGTGAAGGGATCTGGCGGTACAGTGGCCAGCAAAGCCAGAGAGGTCATCCACCGCTCTTGTAGTTTTGGATGGTCTGGAGACTGCACGGGAGTCAGGACACTGGGTGTACATATTACACATCTGCCCACCATCAGTTCCCTCCTAGTTTTCTTCTCACTCTGCTCTGGCCACGGTGTGTATCAGGCATTCTCTTCTCCCATAATTTCTTTGGTCAGCTCCCTTGTCTTTTGAAGTCTTGACTCAGATTTCAGCTTTTCTTTTCTCTTTCTTTTCTTTTTTCCTTCTCTCTCTCTCTCTCTCTCTCTCTCTCTCTCTCTCTCTCTCTCTCTCTCTCCCTCTCTCTCTCTCAAGACAGGGTTTCTCTGTGTAGCTTTGGTGCCTATCCTGGCTCTCACTCTGTAGACCAGGCTGGCTCTGCCTGCCTTTGCCTCCCCCAGTGTTGGGATTAAAGGCATGCGCCACCACCGCCTAGCTCTTTTTTTCTTTCTGTTTTTGTTTTTGTCCAGACAGAGATTCTCTGTGTAGCCCTCAGCGCTGTGGAACTTGCTTTGTTGACCAGGCTGGCCTTGAACTCGCAGAGATCGACTACCTCTGCCTACTGGGTGCTGGGACTAAAGGCATACACCACCACTGCCTGACTGATTTCACCTTTTCTTTCTTTTAAGATTTATTTATTTTATGTATGTGAGTGTTCTATCTGCATGTACACCTGCACACCAGAAGAGGACATCAGACCCTGCTATAGATGATGGCTGTGAGTCACCATGTGGTTGCTGGGAATTGAACTCAGGACCTCTGGAAGAGCAGCCAGTGCTCTCAATTGCTGAGCCATCTCTCCAGTCCCTAGATTTCACCTTTTCAATGAGACCTACTCTGACCAACTTACAGTTGTTTCTCATTCCTGAGATCTGCCACCCAAACCCCCTCCTAGACAGAACAATGGTTTTTCAGCTACTAAGAGCAGAGTTGTAGGTTGTCCTTAACTCTCAGCCTTTTGTGGGCATGGCTTTGGGCTGAAGACAGCCATCTTGGTCGAAGTTGTTCTCTATACCTAGGTATAGCCTGTATCCCATAACTGGTCTGTATTAAGAGACATCTCTAGTTTGAGAGTTCCTTGTGGAGTCATGTATGATTTAGTCACAACTGGACATCTCCATCTGCCCATCAGCACATCCCTTCCCCTGCGCAATTGTGACTCTGGAGAGTTTCCAACTGCTCTCTCATCTCTACTCCAGTCAGCATTCCAGGAAATCTCACGGGCAAACTCTCTCTCCTGTCCTATTTAAAACAAAAATTATGTGTATGTGTGTTTTGCCTGCATGCATGTCTGTTCACCATATGCATCAAGTATTTATAGAAGCTTGGATCCCCTGAGACTGGAGTTGCAGACATCTGTGAGATGCCATGTGGATGCTGGGAATTGAACCTGGGTGTTTTTTTAGAGGAGCAGCCAGTGCTCTTAACTGCTTAACCTCCCCTTCTCTCTTCCCTTTCTTCTCTTTGCCCTCAAAACATCATCTAATATTCTGCTTTACTGATTTATTATGATTTTTGTGTACTGACACACCACACCCCCTTCAAATCGCAGCTCTGTGTCCAGGATCCTTGCTTTGTTTGCCAGCAAAGGTATCTCAGGCATCTAGAACAGGGCTTGGCACATGCTAGGTCCTCAGTGAAAACCAATGGTCTCTGAGCCTAAACATCCAAGATGTTTCCTAGCAGAAGGCCAGGGAGAGGATCCCGAGGAGGGGACAATAGCACTGAGACTTTCTAGGAAAGACTTATTGGATATTCCTAATTTAAAAAAACAAAAACGAAACTGTCATTTGACCTAACAATTCCTATCTGGCTGTAACTAACCAAATGCAGGTTGGTCCGGGGATGTGGCTTAGTTGGTAGAGTGCTTGTCTAGCACGCACAGAAGCCTAGCATGCCTGCTGTCTCAGGAGGGTCGGGGAGGCAGGAGGATCAGAAGTTCAAGGTCATCTTCAATTACACAGTGAGTTTAGGACCAGTCTGGCCTATGTGAGAACCTACCTCAAAACAAAGAAACAACCCTGTTATGGAATAATCTTTTTGTATACTGTGAAGATGTGTCTTTGCCGAGGTGCCTTCTGATTGGTTTAATAGAAGGCTGACTGGCCAGTAGCTAGGCAGGAAGAGGTTAGGCGGGAGAGCCAACTAAGAGGACACTGGGAAGAAGGGCAGAGTCACGACGAGTCTCAGGAAGACAGGGAAGAAGCAAGATGAACATGCTGTGCTGTAAAAAGGTACCAGTGGGGCTAGGGGGATGGCTCAGCAGTTAAGAGCACTGGCTGCTCTTCCAGAGGCTCTGGGTTCAATTCCCAGCAACCTCATGGTAGTTGACAATTGTAACTCCAGTTCCAGGAGATCCAACACACTCACACAGAATATATACAGGCAAAACACCAGTGTATAGTAAATAAATAAATAAATCTTAAAAGAAAAAAAGAAACAGGCCTAAGCTATCAGCCAAGCATTTGTAATTTTTTTTTTTTTTTGAGACAGGGTTTCTCTGTGTAGCTTTGCCCCTTTCCTGGAACTCCCTTTGGAGACTAGGCTGACCTCGAACTCACAGAGATCTGCCTAGCTCTGCCTCCCAAGTGCTGGGATTAAAGGCGTGTGCCACCACTGCCCGGCACACTTGTAATTAGTAATAAGTCTCTGTGTGGTTATTTGGGAGCCAGCTGGCAGGACAGAGCTGACTGGTACACGACTCCCCCCAAATAAGACAAAAACTTCGAGTAACTTAAGGGATGGGACAGTCGGCTTAGAGGGCCATGTTCACTAGGCCAGGCTGCTGGGAGGGACAATAAGGCCTCAGGCTCGTATCAGTCTCTTTTGCCTCTCTGGATACAGGGCTATGTCTCAGTTACTCTGACTAGTCCTTTGCCTGTGGGTGTGGCCCTGCCTGTCTTGGACTAGTATCTTTAATCCTGGAAATGTCTCTTAGATTTCCCAACTAGTGATGGAAGGCCCTGCTGCCGTGAATTAAGGTGGAATTGTACTAAATGGAAGACAAATTGAATTGTGACAAAAGAATGAGGCAATGGCTCTCCTCAGGCCCCCTCAAGGTCAGCATCATCCACAAAGGATGTGGTGCATCCTATGAAGAATGAGGTCCACCCCACCTCAGTGAGGGCGGGGCTCTCACCTGGTCCAGTCTCACAGGTGACAGGGAACTGCTTTATCAGGGGCACCGAGGTGTTGCTGTAGTAGTCCGTGTCCAGGACCCACCAGTATGGGCGCTGTCCAAAAAGAATCCTGTGGAAAGCAGAGAAAGTGTCTGAGTGACTCAGTGCATGATTTTGCTGGAAGCCCAAAGAGAGAAAGAAGCTTGAGTATGTGTCACCTTTGGAGGTATTTTATCTCCCTTTACCTGGGGAGAGGCCTGGGGGTGACTTTGTATGACACAGTAGATAACTTCTGATTTTTTTGTTTGGTTGGTTTTTTGAGACAGGGTTTCTCTGTGTAACAGCCTTGGCTGTCATGGAATTCGCTCTGTAGACCAGGCTGGCTTCAACTCACAGAGATCCACCTGCCTCTGCCTCATGAATGCTGGGATTAAAGGTTTGTGCCACCACCGCCTGGCAACTTCTGAAATTTTAACAGGTAAATGTATTATCTATTCAAACATAAACAAGTAGCTTCCAAAATCAAATGCAGTGGTGGTCTTAGCTATTTGGAAGGCTGATGCAGGAGGATCTCTTCAGACCAAGACTTTGGGGCTAGCCTGGGCAACATAGCAAGATCCTGCCCCCTCTCTTCTCTCTCCTTTACCTGCCCCCAATCTCTCTAATGTGTGTGTGTGGGGGTGCACAAATGTTATGGAGGTCAGAACACAACCTCCAAAAGGCTGTCTGCCTCCTTGACATGGGACTCTCACTGACCTGAAGCTCACCAATCAGGTTAGATTAGCTCCAGTGTTCCACCTGTGTGGTGGTTTGAGTAGCTATGGCCCCCATAGACTCATGCTTCTAAATGCTTGGCACACAGGGAGTGGCACTATTAAAAGGTGTGGCCTTGTTGGAGTAGGTGTGGCCTTGTTGGAGGAAGTGTGTCACTATGGGGACAGGCTTTGAAGTCTCATGTGCTCAAGCCACACCCAGTGTGGTACAGAGTCTTCTGCTGCCTGTGGGTCCAGATGTAGAACTCTCAGCTCCTTCTCCAGCACCATGTCTGCCTGCACGCCGCCATGCGTCTCACCGTGACGATAATGGACTAAACCTCTGAAACTGTAAGTCAGTCCCAATGAAATGTTTTCCTTTAGGAGAGTTGCTACGGTCGTGGTGTCTCTTTACAGCAACAGAAACCCTATGACAGGCTGTCTTCACCTCACCAGTACTGGAATTACAAATGCAGGCCACCATGCCCAGCATTTTCACCGGGGTTCGGGGGATTGAACTCAGGTCCTTGGGCTGATAAGACAAACATTTCCCGACTGAGCCACCACCCCCTCAACTTGATCAGCATGTTTGAGGCCCTGGGTTCAATCTGGACCCCAGTTTGTTCTACTCTTAAGGACTTTCACTGCTTATGGCCAAGGATATGAAACTGGAGGCAAATCTTAAGAATCACCAGGAGAGGGCCAGCAAGACGGCTGCACAGGTAGAGGCACTTTGCCTCCGAAGCCTGATGACCTGAGTTGTGTCCTTGGTACCCACATGGTGGAAGGAGAGAATGGATTCCTGTAAGCTGTCCTCTGACCTTCATGCGCGCGCGCGCACACACACACACACACACACACACACACACACACACACACACACACACCAGGCAGGGAGGCACACACCTGTAATCCTAGCTCTTGTCCGATGGAAAAGGAGAATTAAAAATTCACAGTGATTTTCAGCTACTTACTGAGTTTCAGGCCAACCGATGTCACATGAGTCCTTGACTCCAAAATAAAGCAAAGAACGCCCTGGAACTGGGTATAGTTGTACACTCCTCTGCTCCTAGCCCCCCCCCCCCCAGCCTGAGGCTTGAGGATTACAAGTAAATTGGAGGCCAGCCTAGGCTACACAGTAAGAGATCTTGTCCTGTAAGAACAAATCCCATGGGGCTGAGGATGTAGCTCAGTGATAAAGAGCAAGCACAAGGCTCTCCATTCAGGCTCTTGAACTCCAACAGACAAGCTAGGCATGGTGGGTCACTCTTGCACTCCCAGCACTCGAGAGGAGGCGTGAGTCAAGGCCAGACTGGACTATTTAATCAGTTCTAGGCTAACCTGGGCTACAAAAAGAAATGGCCTCCCCCCCCCCCCGCCCCCCCCCTGCTCCCCTTCTACCCACCCCCATTCCCACGCCCCATCTTAAAAAACAATAAAAAGCCAGGTGTGTTGGCACACGCCTTTAATTCCAACACTTGGGAGGCAGAGGCAGGCAGATCTCTGTGAATTTGAGGCTAACCTGATCTACATGGTAAGTTCCAGGATAGCAAAAGCTACATAGTGAGGTTCTGTCTCAAAAAAAACAAACAAAAATCTGCAAGCAATGCAGGGAAACGGGCTGGGAGATGTCCCAGTAGGTAAGGTGCCTGCTATGAAAACAGGAGGTCCTGAATTCCATCACCAGGACCTATCAAAACAAACAAACTGCCCCCCTCCAAAGAAAAGCCAAGCTGGGCATGGTGGCATACAGCAATGGGCACACAGGTGATAGACGCCCAGGGTCCAATCTTCTCAGAGCTCCAGTCCAGTGACCGACCCTGTCTCAAAAAGTTTCTGAGGAATGGCTGCTCTGGCCTCCACAAACACAGGCGCATACATGTACACACATGAACATGTACACACATGAACATGTACACACATGAACATGTACACACATATCACCTGATAGCAGATACAGACAATGGATGATAAAGCTGTTTCTCTTCATTTTCTAGCAGAGGAAACAGGCCATCCATTGATTCCTTTCAGGCAAGAACCATCAATGGCTTAGATATTGCCATGATGGGAAAATGTACACAATGGGACCTGGCCAGTGTTAAAAGTCAGGTCTGGCTGGGCAGTGGTGGCACACGCCTTTAATCCCAGCACTCGGGAGACAGAGCCAGGTGGATGTCTGTGAGTTCGAGGCCAGCCTGATCTACAGAGCGAGATCCAGGACAGGCACTAAAACTACACAGAGAAACCCTGTCTTGAAAAGACCAGGAAAAAAAAAAAAGTCAGGGCCGCTGTCTCACCCCCACCCACTAGGTTAAGTCTGTTCCTCAGGGCATTGGCAGCCTCCACCGTAGAGGAGCTGTGTTCATCTCACTGGTGAACTCAGCCTTGCTCTTTGGCATGTAGCATGAGTAACTTCTCCACAGAAAAGCGCATGGCCTACAGCTGAGGGTGCTCCTCAGTGATAGAGCACATTCATGTATGCAGGCACGCACGCGCGCACACACACACACACACACACACACACACACACACACATACACATACACACAGACAGACCCTGGCACATAGTAACTGTTCAATAAATGTCCACTGTTTTTAATACTAAGATTCTGGAGAGAATCAAAGATTTATAGCCTCTAAAACAGAAGCTCAGAGGGCTCATGTAACTTTCCAGGGACACATGGTTGGAAGGTGGCAGAGCAAGGTTCTGGATTACTTCTCCCTGCCCAGCCAAAAGGTGAAGAATCATTGGCTTCCTCCTCCCAGCCTCCCTGCTTCTCTCCTACATCTATTTCTACGGTACCCATTCTCCTGCAAAGCAATAAAACGGTTTCTTTAAAACCTGCCCTCGGGGCTGGCGCTGCAGCTCAGTTGGAATAGTTCTTACTATTATGCACAGAGCCCCAGCTTCAATCCCCAGAGCGTGCTGACCTGCATGTGGGAGCACGTAATCCCAGTACTCGGGAGGCAGAGAGAGACAAGAGGAGTTCAAGGTCATTTGTTGTCTGTTACATAGTAAGTTTGGGGCTAGCCTGGGCTACACAAGACTCTATCTCAAAATAATAAAGTAGAACAAAGCCTGTACTCCGACTTTTCATAAAATTCAGCTGTCCTTCCACTCCTGCAGGCCTGAGGAAACAGACTGTTCCCCGTTTCCAGGCACTGGTGGGATTCTCACCATCCTTATTCTTTCTCTTGATGTTCTCAAGCCAAGGGAGGTCTAACCTGGGCTTGGTGAACAGCATGGAGTGCCCCTGCTGAAGGACAGTCCTCTCTAGAGAGAATGCAGCCTCTTTCCCTGCCACGCACCCCTCTGCATGGTTCTTACCACTTAAAGACGAGGTTGATCCAGTCTCCAACCACTGCCACCCAGAGGAGGTTGATGCCCACAGTCTCTCGAATATGAAACCAGACGGGGAAGAGGACATAGAAGGCATTCCTGAGATCAGCGAGCACTGACACTAAGATGAACCAGTCCTGGGAGTCTGCATAATTCTCTTGAAGGTAGCGGGTTGACTGGATCCCCAAGTCGTGGAGAACGTTCATTCCTTCCTCCATCCTCGCTCCCTTGGTACCTCAGGGAGCTGGCAGCAGAGCCTGTGCTCACGGTGAGTCCACGCTTGATGCTGATTGCTCTGCTATCAGTGTGCCTTACCCCTGTTTTATATGCCCTGGATTCAGTCTGTAGGGCAACCCAGCCCTGATCTTTGGACTCAAAGACCGCTTTTGTCTAAAAGCTATTGATCAAAGGTGCATCATCAGTAGGTTGATGCAAACATGTCCAGGGTGATTTACGTAAAAATAGCAAAACAGGCACACAAAAACAGCCTGATCTGCCATTGGCAGAGCCAATCATTAACTCGGGCACACTGCTTGACAGCGCTAGGGCTGTCCTCCCTGGCCCTTGAAGCCAGGCCAGAGGCTCGGGGCAGAGTCTGTCTCCACCACGGCTCCGGCAAGTGCCTCTGCCTTTTGAAGTCTGCAACTGCATTTATTTGGAGACAAAGGGGGGTTCGCTGCTGTGGGAAATGACGTTTTAAGTTATTAATTTAAAATACACAAAACTTCACAACAGTGGGTTCTGCTGTCCTGGGAACGGTCACTCTGTTGGTCTTTCATCTACTTCCTGTGGGTCCCGGGTCTACCTTTGGTTTGGGAGGCCAACAGTCTTTCCAATACTGATTTTTATATTTCTTAGGGCAAGCAAACAATTGTCTAAAATGCTTTTCTTCTATGTGCATGTGAGAGAGTGTGCGTGTACATGTGCACACGTGTATACATGTGACAGAGTGCATGTGTCTAGATCAGAGGATGACTTTCAGGAGCCGTGTCTCTTCTCCCACCATGTGAGTACTGGGGATTGAACTCAGGTCCTCAGGGTTGGCGGCAAGCACCTTTACCTGATAAGTCATCTTTTCCAGCCCTAGAGCAATCATTTTTTAAATGCAGTGATTAATTCATTAGATAACCTTGAAACTAAGATCTTTTGAATTTTAAGATGTAAGCTTTTTTTCGTGTGTGTGTGTGTGTGTGTGTGTGTGTGTGTGTGTGTGTGTGTGTGTGTGTGTTGCTGGGAATCTAATATAGGGCCTCAAGCATGCTAGACAAGCATGCCATCTCTGAGCTACAACTCCAGCCCTTTAATTGACAGGATGAAGGTACATTCATATAATAACAATAAAATGAATGTGTGACTCTAAATAAAAATCTAGTAAATTGGCAACTGGAGACTCGAGAGAAAAAGTTAGGAACTTTTAGTTTTCGAAATTTTGAAAAGTTTTTGTTCTTTGCTATTGGGTCTCCTGCAACTCAGGCTTCAAATTCACTAGATACAAAAGGATAACCTTGGTCTCCTGACCCTTCTGTGTCCTGGGTGCTGGACCACAGGCATGCTGTACCACGCCCTGTTTATGTGGTGCTGTGTATCCAACCCAGGGCTTCACGCGTCCCAGCTGCTTACTGCGGCAAACGTGCCAAGTCTTTGCCTCATCTTAGTCATTTTTGGAAAAAGGCTTTTGAGCCAGATGTGGTGGCGCTCATACTTAATCCCAGCACTCAGGAGGCAGAGGCAAGAGGATCTCTGAGTTCAAGGGACAGCCTGGTCTGTATATCGAGTTCCAGGACAGTCAGGACTACATAGAGAGACACGTCTTGAAAGAAAGAAAGAAAGAAAGAAAGAAAGAAAGAAAGAGAGAAAGAAAGAAAGAAAGAAAGGAAGGAAGGAAGGAAGGAAGGAAGGAAGGAAGGAAGGAAGGAAGGAAAAGAAAGAAAGAGAAAAGAGAAAAACAAGAAAAGAGGCATTCGTGTCTTGCTTATTCTTTCATATATATTTTTACAGTCAACCTGAAAGGAAGCGACAGAGTAAAGGCCATATTCTCGGGTCACAGGGGACTCAGAGGGGAGCAGGGATGTGAACCATGTGACAGATCCCTGCATGTTTCAAGGGTAGAGCCAGTAGGAATAGAAGACTTGAGAACCCACCTGATATTCCCAGCAGTAATCCGTATTAACTTTCACATAGGGGTTAGATTTGGGGCAATGAGAAGAAATCCGGAGTCCCTAAATCTGGAGAGAAAGCTGATGGCATCCCATCCTGCAAGTGATTGGCACATCCTCCAGGGTGTGTGCTTTGCACTTGGATGTGAGATCTGGTGTTGTCTCATCTCTATCATCAAGGACAGCCGCTATCTCTAGCGGACTCTGACTGCCCTATCCATATTGTCTCTAACCTGGAGAGAGGGTGGGGGGGTGTTGGCTCTGCATGACCACAGGGGAAGCAGGTGCTCGGTGTGTTGGGAGGGTGGGGCATTTGTATCTTCTACTGTCAGGGCTTTGGGGGCCACAGGGAGTGTGTCCCACCAGAGGGGAGCCCCTTCCTTCCCTCCACCAGGTAAGTCTGCCTAGAGAGTATTGAGCATCCGCTGTGGTGATCCGAGGACTCCGGTTTCTATGGATTGAGGTGAGTTGAGGACAAACAGTGGATTCTCTGACAAAACATCCAAAGGCCACTGTCTGGGTCTCTGCTGGGTGAAGAGCTGGGATCTCTGTGTCAGGCAGGGTTCTATCATGTGCTCAGCATATGGAGAGCAGACTGGGAGCACTATCTTCTAAGGAACTCTGGGAGAATGCTTGCCTGTGCTGATCAAGGTTCCGAATGGGGTTGACGTCCTATTCTGAGCATGTGGAGACTGTGGGCGGCTCTGTTGCATTCTGCCTGCTATGCCTGGGACGGGTGGGGGTGGGGCTCTAGGCCAGCTCTGGATTACATGACGGGACTGTTTGCTAGACCTCATCTTTGACCTCCCAGCTCGTTCTTGCTGCTTCCAGCACATTTTTATCATATGCAGAAAGAGGTGAAGCCGAGGGGACCCCAGCAGGTTACAAAGCTCACCGCAGAGAGAAACTTGGATCCTCCAAGGTCTTGGGCATCACAAAAGGCAAATCCTATGGGCAGAATGTTTGGTTTTCTGGAGGCCTTGCCAAGTATCTAGTTGTTTAAGGAATTATCTCACCTGCTCTGATAGTACATGCTTGTAATCCTGGCAGGAGATGAACCCAGGAGGCCGTCAGTTCAAGACCTGCTTGGGCTACACAGTGAGACTCTGTCTCAAACAAATTATCTAAGGGGTGAGAGGATAACTCAGCAGTATAACAGTTGTGTGGCAATATTAGGTTCTGTGTTTGATCACCCACACTACACACAAACAACAAACATACAAATAAAGAAAGCCAACACAAACAAAATCACAAAAATCTATCTCCAAAGAAAGAACCTCATTTTCTCCCTCTCATTAGTTTTTAAATAAACTTTTTAATTGATTCTTTTTCAAGATTTATTTTTTTTTAAATAATTATTTGTTTATTTATTATCTATACAGAAGAGGGTGCCAGATCTCATTACAGATGGTTGTGAGCCACCATGTGGGTGCTGGGAATTGAACTCAGGACCTCTGGAAGAGCAGCCGGTGCTCTTAACCTCTGAGCATTCTCTCCAGCCAAAGATTTATTTTTAATTATGTTTATGTGTATGTGTCTGTATGTGGTTGCGTGCGTGAGTGTGGAGTTGGGGTTTCCGGCAGCTACCGTGTGGGCCCTGGGAACTGGACTTGCATCCTCCGCAGGAGTAGGGCATGCTCTCAACCCTGTTCAATTTAACCAACATTTCCCGAGCTTCATGCCCCACCGATCCACAGGCATTCCACGATAAATCCTGGCTAATCCTTGGGGCACTGGCAGTCTAGGGGGTGGGGGTGAGGGCAGGGAGCCAGACATAGCGACCAAGACCGAGGGCTCTTTGTATTGAAATTGTCTCCTATTTGTACAAATGCCAGTGAGCCCCTTACGGGTCCTCAGTGGTGAGAACTCTGAACACATAAACACCCGCTGGAAGGTTCCAGTGAAAGCTGAGAAATACCAAGGATTGAAAATGGCTTGGACCTCTCTTTGTTAGGTACACTAACCAGCAGGGAGGGACGCTGGGCATTTTTTCTACAGGCAACCAGAAGTTTGGGAAGAAGGGTCTGGCCCACCCTTAAAGAGCACAATGTCCTGGCTGTCACCTTCTCCAGAGTGAGGTTGACTCATCCCTTCAGGTTTACTTACCAGCAGGAGAGCCAAGAGAGGAAGCAGTGTGGTTCACCACACACACCAGCCGAAATTGTGTTTACTACTAAAAAGAAATTCTGGTTTTATTTGAAGCTGAATCCTGTATTCCGGCTGGGACTCGGCTCTGTTGAGAGAGGGCTTCTTTTACTTTAGAAATAGTTCTAAAATAAGTCTTATTTACAGATTGTAGCCAGGATATAGCTCACAGTTGTTTCTGACCTGTAGGTAGGTAACGCTGAAGGGTGTGGGTCAGGTCAAAACGGCAAGATAAACAGGGGTGTGTGTGTGTATGTGTGTGTGTGTTATGTGTGGTGTGTGTGTGTGTGTGGTGTGTTTTGTGGTTTGTTTTAAAACAGTCCGCAGCCAAGGCTGACTTTAAATTCTGTTGCCAAGAATGACCTTGAACGACCTCCACCTCCTGAGTTGGGGTTGGTTTGGCACCACCACCACCCTTGGCTTGTGGAAAGCTAGGCAAGCACACCTCCAAACAAGCTACAACCCCGGCCATATAGTTTAATTTTTTTTTCTTTACAACAATTTTTTTTTCTTTAGGTGGGTTTCTTTTTCCTCTCTCCCACCAAGTGATCGATGGGGGAGGCGTTTCGTAGTGGACTGTGGAAACGGGCTGATTCAGCTGCTGTCACCTTCAGAGTGAATGACCCAGTTCATTCGCCAGAAAAACAAGTCGGGGCTCCAGGTGGAGGTGGGTTAATGATTGTTAGCCAGTGAAAATGGCTGACTTATCTCGGCTTCGGTGAGAAAGTTCAGGTTGAGGACCTTGAACTGTGCACCCGTTGACCAGGCACCAGGAGTCTGGCTCTCAGGAAGGGCTGGACATTCTGTCCACTGAAAAATACCCAAAGGTGTTTTGCTCCACTGCAAACGACTAAGAGAACCCACTGTTCACCCCCTTCCTCCTGCCAGCCCAGGATCTGCCTTCTCTCCAAATCAAAACACTCCTGAGTCCCCTTCCCCCAAAGGAGTGGGTGTTTCTGCCAGGACAATCAACCAGTTCCCTCAGGGACAGATGGCACACTCTTTCCTCATTC